TTTTATTTATTTAACCGCGGTTCCCCCCTTACCCCCCCCCCCCCGCCCTCCCTCCCAGAGCGACCGTGGATCGTCCCGCGGGGGAATAAGACGATCACAGATCAATCGCGCGATCACGACTCCGGGACTTTTCCCCCGGCTCGGTCTACAATGCTCTCGTGCGTTTGAAATGTCTTCCTCGTAATATATCGTAATAATATCTCCGTAATACACGAGGTACACCGCGGAACTTTTAGGATGTTGAGAAAATTATATAGTTTCACCGCGGAGGATTGCTTACGTTTTAACTATAATTTTCTCCGAGTTATTTGTTACGGGATTATGTAAAGTTTAATATGTATTGCATCGATGATAACGCCTTTGTAAATTGCCATCCGCGTGCCATTTGTAGCGAAAGGGGTTAAGTGGATCTTCGTCTAGATCGTACAATGTAACGATCGTGTGACTCCATCTCATCAGCTCGGGGCTGGCTCCTTAGTTGTTTCATCACAGCAATAAGAGTAATCGATCCGTTTCATTGATGTCACGTTCGCGTGACTATGTGCCAAACCGGCTCTTTACATGCTAGAAACGTGTATCTTTAATCGCGAGGTCTGCCCGCGTCAACTGTAATTACAGTGAAAGGAACAGAGATAACTATATGAGCTTAATATAACATTCCAATAATTCTTTCTCGCCGCTACGTGTGATCGATGATATTTAATAGGGAAACGCGAGTGACAGTCCAATTATCGGACCGTTGCAAAGTCAATTCTGCATTGCATCCTAATACCAAATTATGCGGCAATTATTGAAGAAAATAACAAGATGTGATTTGTCAATTTTAGCAAATAAATTATTATAAGACGCAGAGAAAGGCGCGAAGCTTGTAGCTCTGTTGTACAGTGCAAACGACTCTCTCTCTCTCTCTCTCTCTCTCTCTTTCTCTCTGTGTCTCTTGAGTCAATTATGTATTTATTAAGTACAAGAGCCGTCATTAGTTTGTCATTCAGTTTTATTTAATTTTCCAACGCGACGACATCCTCCGCGAACAATTCTCAATACATTTGGTACACTCGTTCTGCTAGGCAGTCCTTTAACGGCGTCACGTAATAGGTTACTATTCCGCTGTGACGTTCAATTACGTTCAATTATGTATTCGTGAGCGTCGTAAAGGCTTCACCATGAGGCCACCATCAATCGGCTAGTGACATGCGTACACGCACACGTCCCTTGTCGCGTGTAGGGAGACAAAACAACCGCTACGCGATACCCGACGCACTTTTTCTCGGTGTAGATCCTGGCGAGCCGCAAGCCAACTGCGTATCAAGTGCGTGCGTGCGTGCGTGCGTTGCGTAACGCGGCACACACGTCGCAGTCTTACGACACAATGGCGCTAACGAGCGATGATCGACCCACGGGGCTTTTGTAAGTATCCGCTTGATTCGCGGCAACGCATTTAACTCGCCAGTCGTCATTCTCAGCCTCGACGGGGCTGAGCCTTCCCCATTCGATTCCGACGGAAACACGCTCGTGTGTCCGATCGTAACGACGAGGAAGCGCGGCGAAACGATCCTTGACTGTCCAATGCTAGCGCGCTTAACGCTCGAGCCTGCCTCGGAAATAGAGAATAGTCATTGTCGCCGACGCTTATGGTGGTGTATACCGTTTCGAGGTGCGAGCGCGCGGATAAATCGCTCGGGCCGAGGCACTCCTCTGCGTCTGATTTGGATTTTTCAATCCGGGAAGAATCGCGCGACTAAATGGAATCTCCGCGCGTCGCGAATAAAGTCCCGGGGGCAACGCTCCTCTCGCACGGGACTCGGCGAGATTAGAGACACCCTGTGTAATCAGAGACTGACCATAGAGGAGTTCGTCAAATTCCCGCGGGTGAGATGGCCTACGTTTCTCTCTCACTCGCGGGAATTCGACGAACTCTTACGGCCAAGTCTCTGATTACAGTGTCTCTCTAGGCGAGATTTACCTCGCGCGTCCTCTGGCTTCCAGGCCGCGTCTCTTTCCGCTTTCGCGCCGCGTAACGGCCTCCTCGCGCTTACTGAAACAGGTCCGCCGCCGCGCCGTATCACGAGAACAGATCTCACGGGTATTAACCCGGGACGAGATATGATTTCAGAATCCGTGGGATCGCCAAACGTACGCGACGCGCGCGGCACGTTGCTCGTAAACTCTCGCGCGCGCGCGCGCGCGCGCCCCCGACGTGTGTACCCGGGGCCCTCCCTCCCCCCGATTAGAAAGGCCCTCGCGCCGCGGGGGTACGCTTGCACGTCGCGCTCGCAGCTCGCCGCGTTCCCGTGAGCGCGATGTGCACGTGTGCGGAGCCGTATGCGCGCCAGCCGAAGAGGTCACGACGCCACTCGTCATCGAGATGACACGCGGGACGCCCGAGTGCGCCTCGCCCCCTTTCCTACCCTCCCGCTGGATTGTGTGCGCACGGAGATCGAGAGTCTCCCCGTGTCACGGGCTCAATCCTATCCGTTTGTTAAAGAGGAAATTTATCACGGTTTGTGGGATAATCGCGTCCCACTTCGAACCGCCTCCGATCGAACGAATTGAAAATAAAAGACCGTTATAATTATCGAGTCCATATTCATTATACGTTTAGTACTTTCAACATCGATTCGTACCCGGGTAATTACGCGGTGCTAGCCGCCATTGCTCCAACGATATGCAATTAATCTCCCGTCAAAACCAGTCTTGTAGAACAGCCTAGGCTCGAGTATCTTACTTTCTACGCGCTCGCGCAGCTACCTGCGGTAAAATTAGATACATTATCTTCCGCGTATTTTTCGAACTTCCAGCTTCGCAAAGCAGCGTGGTACATTCGACACTACGTGTCTCTCCGCGAATAACCATGTAATAAGTAACGCGGCGTGTCACTTATGCAAATGTGTCAGTCTCTTCCCGAGTAGCAGCAGCAGTGCTTGATATTATCCACTAAATGCGCAAATTAAATAAGAAAACAAATGTTAAGTACGGGAAAACGACTTGAAATAGGATGAACGATGTCGTATGGTACAGCTCTGGATTACCAACCGTTAATTTTCTAGACTGGCATCCTCGTGCGGATGTCTCCTCGTCGCGTGAATAATTCCGGGTGAAGTATAGGAGGCAGCTTAAACCATGGTGTAAAGATACAAGGTGAAGCAATCCGGTGGCCGCGCAGTGTCAACCAATCAGAAGCGGCCCAAACTACCGAATTGACCGATCAGAAACCCCAACCTTCAAACTGCAAATCATTGCGGCTGAATGCCTGCATTCTTCCTGAAGCCCCAAAAATTGCTTACATGCGCAACGTTTCACCTTGTGTCTTTACACCATGGCTTAAACGCTGTAGTCTCAGTCGCGATTCTTCTCGCCCAACTCTCGCGCTCGATTAACGCGGAATCCAAGTCTCTCTCCCTCTCTCTCGGTTGAGACTCCGAGGTATCCGGCGGATGTTGAACGACCTTCCTCTCGTGCCCGTGAACTCGACCGTCCAATTATTGTTTATTACCGAACGAACGACAGTTCTTACACGCTATCCGCCGCGAGGATCGTGGTTAATCGCGCTCTGCTCGAACCACGTCAATTAAGTTAATGCTTCCCCCTGAAGAATCCGGGGACTAATGGACGGACATCGGGTACATCTTCCGCGCAGGGTGAGGGCGAAATGTCCCGTGACCTACATGTTGCCACGTTTGTTGGCGCTCGGTGGTCGAATTGGTGAGACGCCCGTCTAGAGTGTAGGGAGGTCCAGGTTCAAACCCTGGCTATTAAATCTGCCAGGTATGGTCAGGAAAACACTGACGTTGTTAAAAGGCTCCAACTTGAAGAGCCTCGCTGCTCAAGTCTTCGACAGACTCACGTTTCTGGACTCGTAGGGGCAAGCTGTCGATGGATTAGCCTGCGTCGAGTAAGAAGAATGAGAGTCATGGATGCGAGATGCGTGCAAAATGAAGGAGAGAAGAAAGGAAGGAGCCACGGGAGGAGAGGATGTTGTTGTGCAACGTTGTGCAATCGGCTAACGAGCAGCGAACGCAACTGGAACGAATTTCTCCGTTGGTAGCGACGCTAGTCCGCCGTCGCACTCGTTGCACAATGGATTTGCATCCAAGAGATAGGAAGGAGAGGGTGGAGGAGGAAAGAGGAGCAGCAGCAGCCAGCAACTCGCCGATGAGATGGCGACGTCGTTCCTCTCCGTGCCTAGATATCTGCTAATTTCTTTAATTACCGCCGTGGTCGGGGCGGTAATTAATGGCGGCCGGGGAGTCAGTCGCTCCGGTTTCCGCGTTGCGGACTATGTAATGAGGTAAACTCTTCTCCATCGACTATTTGCCGCTCGAGGCTGAGGGCTGCTCGAGAGCTGAAGCAGGCTGACGCGGAAATTGCGAGCCTCGGTTGTTTTCTCAGCGAGACGCGCGTTCGATAACGAGGATCCGTGTAACAATGTGTCCCGCGGCTTGTGCTCCGCGGTATTAAGAGCAATCGTTACGGAGCGATTCCGCGCGGTATGGAATTATTAATGAACGCTGGGCGTTACGATTGTGACGTCTCGACGGCAGTCTCGTTAAATCGAGAGAGTTGTATTCCACCGCGGTAATCACCGTGCGGTCGCGCAAGCTTGTCTATTTGTACAATTTATTTTGTACGCGCGCCCATGATTAGAAGCTGTCCGGCATTATCCCGCGCGGGATGCGTGCCGTGAGCGCGCGCTCCTAACTGCGACGACCCAGGAAACATAGCGGTCGCGCACAATGTCGCCCGGTGTGCCAATGTCGATGACCCTCGAAGAAGTGAGGAGGTGGATAGCAGCGGGAGCGCGGTGTAGAACGAGAGAGAGAAGAAGAAAGAGAGAAAATACGAGAAAAGTCGGAGCGAGAGCGGCGATGCTTAGAAGAGGAGGCAAATTCTGAACAAGATGGTGGGACAGAGAGAAAAGAAGAAGGTTCGTCCTGTTACCAAGGGTCGTCGGACCGACCGACCGACCGACCGGCCAGCATGTTTAGCACTTAAGAGGCCTAATGGATGCCTTTAAGGACGACGACGGTGGCGGCGGCGGCGACGGCGGCGGCAGCGACGGAGCAGGCAGTTGCCTATCGCGTAACGACGCGGACGCTGACGCCGGCGTCAACGTCGATTTCCTGGTGCGGCATCGCGCCGCGGGCAACCGGCAGTTAACGCGCCACGGGCCCCCGTGTGCCTGACCCCTGAGGGGTCGTTGATCCGCGGCTACGTGGTACACGCAGTTTTAATGGGCCCGCGGGGAGATTTGAGAGACGCGCCACGCTCCGTAAATCCGCGCGCGCTCGTGGGAACGGGACTTTCCTTCCCGGTCGAAATTACGGATACGTATGCGCGGGCGATAGCCGGGAGACGGTCGTAATAATTAGGCACGATAATTCAAGAATTCGGTGAACGCGTCGTCGGTTCGCGCGTCTCATCAGCGCGGCGAATCGAATTTAATTTAGCCTCACGCCGAGTCGCTGCGCCGGGGCAATTTCTGCTCGAGCCATCAGATAATTCTGAGCCGCTCATTGTGCTCGGGCGTAGCCGCGGTCTATAATTCTTACCGCCCGGGGACATGTCAGAGTTTCTACGATAACACGTGTATGTACGTACATTACACGCCGCGCTTTCTTGTATCTTAATTACGTTTTGACAATAAAATCGGCTGGTATTTCCCAGGAACTGTCCGAGCTGATTTTTGTCCCCGCGACGTCAGGCGCGCACGAAAGAAAGGCGAGAGAGGAGAGAGAGGAGATCGCGCGCGAGATAGCGCCGCGCATAGTCGTTCGCCGTTGCACCTGTGTGACCGTGCTACGTGTGTGCATACGTGTGAGCGCAGCGACATAATCTCTCCGGAGAGACGCTTTAATATGCGCGTCTCGAGTCATACGCACCCATACGAAGCACTCGCGAGAGACGCTACGGAGAAAGTATGTACTTTCTACAGCATCCGCGGGACTACCGCGTTAAGTCGTTGTCGAGACGCTTCCGTTTACGCGACACGAGAGGGTTCCGCGCGCAGGAGTCAGGCTCTGCACGTCGCGCATTCTCGACGCGATCGAAATCGTCCTTTCAAACCCGACGTACGTGTCGACGCATCGGTTAGCTCTGATTTCGTCCAATTATCCTCTACGGCCGAATTTATTAACAACTGGCTACAGGAAGGTTTCCTTTATTGTAACACAATGTAGTGTTGGAATGTGTCACGATAAAGGAAAATTTCCTGCAGCCAGTTGTGTCGGATTATTCGACCTGATTGTTAATTAATCGCTGGCGAGTCGGTGTTACAAATTTTGCTCGGATTTATTGGCGTCGAGTCGTGATACGGGCCTAAGATTTGCACCGGCACGAAAAATATCGGTGAGAAACGGTACTCGCAAATAATAACTACCGTGTCGCTGCTTAAGAGAAGCAAACATCGTGAAAGTATTGTTGTGTCACTAAATATTAAGCGTAAGGTACTTGCAACCGGGCGCAGCCGGCGGTAGAACGAAAGCGAGCGATTAAGGGCCCGTGTTCCCTCCGACAGGAAGATCGATCTGGGTCGATTTAGGTCGGCGCCGTGAACAAGGTAGACGGGAAAAGGGTCAGTCGGAGATCGGAAAGTCGCGCGCGAGAGTCGACTTTATGTTCCTGCCGCTCGAGACTCGCGCCGACGCGCAAAACCGTTGAAACGAAATCGGGTGGGAGCCCGTGCACATGCACGACTCGTCGCGAGACAGACGCAACCCGTTCCGCAAAACCAAAAAAAAAACGGGAAACGGCCGCGAGTTTCTTCGATCGCGGAAGCACGGCGACGGAACGATCGGAGGAGGTTCCCTCGGTGACGTTTGGGTCGGCTCTTCGTGGTTCGGAGAGCTCGTAAAGGAGAGAACTAGGTGCCCAGGTCCTCGGCCACGTCGGTCGGCTTGACTCCTGGGGCGTAAAATTGGGCCCTCGCCACCGCGGGCGCGACGAACGGTAGTTCCTCCTCCCTCTCCTCTAGGCCTCCTTCTCGGAAAGCCTTCGGGGGCTTCCTGGGGGTCGTAAGTGTGCGCGCGGATCCGGACCTCCTCGGAGAGACCGCTTTCTTGCCGCGCGCGCAGGTATGCCGGCGAACGCTTGATGATGTTGGCGTAGCAAAAAGGGCCCCGAGTTGCTAGAGATCCATCCGCGCTTCTTACGGAAGCCACGGGACGTCGTTAAAAATCGGTAGATGCGCGGTAAATATAGTAGCGCGGAATGACGAGGCGACTTCTCGAGATGGAGACTCTCGCCGTGGAACTCGCTCGCGACCCGAAGGGGGAAGATTAGCCCTGTTTCTCGGTCCCCTGCCCCCCCCCCGCCCTCCCCGCATTCTGAACGCAATCCAGTTTTGCACCGCGGTAAATCCCTCGGCGCGCGATCCGGATCTAATGCGATTCGTGTGCGAATGCCGTCGGCCTCTGGGACACAGGTATCCCACCTTGCAACCTCACGACTCGCGTAAATAGCCGTCGCGCACGACCGCCCGCCTCGCGGGGTACGTGTGTACGTGCAATTTTCGAAATCGTCAGTGAATTTTAACCAACTTTCCTTGCTTTTCGGGGAGAAACCGTAAACCGTGGGACGCTCGCGGCCCTGTCGAGCCGATGGTAATGATAGACGCGGGAGAAGCGCGAAGCCGAGGAGGAGGAAGCCGGTAGTCGTGATGATGTTTTGCTAGCCGGGGGTCATCCTTAAAAGCGAGGGCTCTCATCCTCAAAGCCGCCGGGCTTGAAGCGCCGCGGCTCTCGGCTACCGCGCGGTACCACCGTACACGGCCAGGCGGCGGAGATGAGGGGGCGTTTCGCGGCCGCGCGCCGCGCTCGTGAAAAGCGGCCGTGGAGGATCACGGCTGCCATTAGCTACGCGCCGATCTTTAAGCCGCCGCTCGGCTGGCACGGCGCATCGGCAACATCGGAGGAGGGAGTTTGCTAAATTAAAGACTTTACAGACTATTGAGCACCGCTCGTTCCGCGCTGCGTTTTTCGCCGCTCGCGACGGCACGGCGGAGTCGCGCCGTCGCGCGATCTTTGATCCGCGGCGGTAAATTCTTTCGATAGCGCGGTTAGCCGTTTCCCGCCGTTAATTTCGCTTCGGTACGATACGTCCGTCGGCGTGCACGCGGAATCGCAAGCTCCTCTCGTCGATAATGCCGTCCCGGAATCCGTTCCTCGCGTTCCGTCGAGGGATCGAAACGCAATAACCGCCCCCTCTCGCTGGTTAACGAGCCGCTTCGGTGGCCGGGTAGACGCAATGACGCGTGTCTTACCCGGGAGAATCTCTTATTATATGCATTATCCGTTCCGCGATAGTCCGTTAATTACAACGAGTAACTTAATTCGCTGCGAGCCGCGCGTCTTCCTGCGCCGCGAGCAATGCGATTTGCGAAAGTACAATGCGTAAGATTCGATTTCTCATATGTGGCGCACGTCGCATGCAGAATCGATAAATTGTATTTGGAATTAGCGACGGTTGAATTATCGCGCCTCGCCGCCTCGCGAGCGGGGAAATCGCGTACGGCGGTCGCTACCGACCGATTTCTCCGCGGAAATGCAAAGTAACGTCGCGCGAGTAGGCAGAGCGCGAGCAGCCGCACGACGAACGCATTAATTCCCCGCGTCGGGCAGAACCCCGCGGGAATATTCCGCGCGTTCGCGAGCGTTCGAAGTAGCGCTCGACGCAACTTTTGTAACGTAGGAAAATAACGTAGGAAAACATCGCGCGCGCTCTCTCTCTCTCTCTCTCTCTCTCTCTCACGGCGAAGCACATGTCCCCGATAAGATCTGCGGTATGCCCGGCTTGATTGAAATTATATTCCCCGGAATGAAACGTTCGCTGTAGCGGAAAGTAATACGAGTAGGTTTTCCCAGCTTTTCAAAGCGGGACGTGCGCCGCGGCAAGATTTGTTCCCAAAGATCTGGCGCGCGGACCAATTTGCGGATTCGCCGCGTCGAAATTGTCGACCATTCCCGGGGGGGGGGGGGGGGAAGCAAGCGCCGCTTAATGAGACGAGCCCGAACAAGTGCGCTCACGCGTGACTACCCTCGTGGGATTTCTCCGCGGACGACGCGCGAAGCGGCGGCGGTTGTACTTGGTCAAGGTTAATGACGCCTGCGTATTTAGCCGTGACCTTGGCAGAGGAACGAGATGGAAACCTCGACCCGTCCGATCGCACTCTCGCCGAGCCCTCGGCGCATCCTTCTGCCTGTCACGAGCGTGACTTTCCTCGGATTTCACCCGTGCGAGCGCGCAAAGTGGCCGTCGCGCGCGGGAAACCAGCCGAAGGCTAATGACGGCGAGGAGTGTGGCGTCGCGAGTTGCAACACTCCCTTTGGGAAGGATGCCGCGGAAAGAAATCGGGTTAACCTCACGGGCCCCTTGCGCCCGCACCTGTAATAGATCACAGTTTTCACTCCGCGCGGCAGATGCGGCTTTGAGAGAGAGAGAGAGAGAGAGAGAGAGAGAGAGAGACCGGCCGGAACGAGCCTCTCTGGGAATCTCTCGAGGTCCGCGATGTTCATTAAACATTTGGAATAGCTGTGCGTGGTTAAGTTCCTTTCACGGCTTCTGGAAGTAGGCTAATTTTTGTAAAATATTGGCTCGATAAGGCAGCCTATAAAGTTTATATAGTAGTCGATTTATACATATATATGTATATATATAAGAGGTAAAAATGGCATTGAAGCGAATGTTGGCATCAAATCGACTTTAACGTTGATTGCAATAAAGTGGCTCGCCAATTAATAGATTGGTACTTAACACCAATCGTAACCGGGCATTATTACTCGCACGCGAACGTAATCTTACGACGTTCAATCGGGTTATTGGCCGCTGTAACAAGGTGCAATCTTAATCTCGCTCGAACGGATTATGCGTTGACCCTATTAATGACACAAATAGTCGATGCTATCGAAGGTCTTCGGCTCGAATCGGCCGCAGCCTGCCTGGCGTTAAATTACATCTGCAGATTGCACGAGAGATGCATATGAACGTTAATAGAAGCCGTAATCTTTCGCCGACCGATCACTCTCGATTGCATTATGTCGAATTTGTTGCGTTCGATATTGCTGATTAGAATTTCCTGTCGGCCATTTGCAACAGCGCCTTCGCACGTCTCGTCGCTCCGGGGAAAAGTTTCGAAATTTTAAGAGAAC